TTTGAAAAACATGTGCTGATTAAGTGCATTGTAAATAATACAGCTGCTCTTTTGTTCCCTTAAAGACCAAGGTAGCAAGGACTAACACACTGCAGTAATCTTGTACCTTTTAAATTTAAGCAAATCTCATGTAATATAGACCATTGACACAAGAGGGCAGCAGTTCCCCATAAATGAAGACAGACTTAGTCTTATAATTATTCTAATTAGGTTGAAAGGAAGAATAATAGTTTTCACATGGTAATAAAATTATTAGAATAGTAATAGCTCCATAAATTATACCAAGTGTAAGATTAAAACATGAAATTTAATTTCACCATTTGGTATAGAGTTCAGTAATCACTTTAGCAGAGATCTAAGTGTGCAAGGGATATATTTCAGTAAGGCATGGGATGAGATTCAGCCAAACTCCAAAGACCTTTTCCACTTTAGATGTATTGAAGGGCCAGTGAAAAAGCTGCAAATTTTAGAAGCATGTATTACAAATTACACCTTCTAATATTAACAGAAGATTACCATGATTCCCTCTTTCTAAAAATGAAGATTCCATTTTGCATATACCCACATACACATTTTAAATATTTTAAAATGTTTATCAATTCAGTGTATAGATAAAATACATTTGCCTAAATTATAGGTACCTCTGAAGCATAATCAGAAGTGGCCTGAAACCTTATTCTGGACTGTCCCCCTTGCACATTCTTCCTAAATGGTGCTGTTACATGCGAGATTCACTCTTCTTAAAGTGCTTGTTCTGTCCCAACTTTGTCATGGCTTCCCAGCAATAAATATTGCTGGGCAATATCAGCCTCGGGCACCCAGTCCTATAGTCACCTGGTGTTGGGGTAGGGGAAACAAGTGATAAGATTATTTGGAGCACCAATTCCTAATTCCTGCAGCCACTCAGGCAGTGTGGAAAGAACTGTGCCAGCGGTTTCCCCATGATTCCACTGGGCCTTAGAGAGGATACAAAAGGGTGTCCTAGAGGGCAGGGAAGGAGGGAAGCAAAAGCCGACAACTTAGCTCAATTCCTATCAATGGCTCAGCCTTCTTTTCTCCCCTCACGGGCACTTAATCCAGACAGTCAAAATGGCTTTCTAGAGGAAATGCACATCAGTGGGCACAGTCGCAGCAGAAATAACTTCTGCTGCACCTTGCTCAGTGAATTGGATGCACACAAGCTGTTTGGAGGTAGAAGCTGACATGCATCAAAGACAGAGGGCATCAGATTACACCTTTATTCCCACCACAGTTGCCAAACACAGAAAAACCTCTTCAGTTAAAGCCAACATGTTTACCACAAAGGGCTTACCAATGGTCCTCAATAAAGGAGTTCATATGCACCAAAGATATAGAATCTTAGAATGCTAGAGTTGGAAGGGGCAGAAGGCCATCAGGTTCAACCCCCTGCTCTGTGCAGGACACTGAATTAAACCATCCTTCTCAGATGGGCTGTCTGTTTGCATCATCATGTTGTATAATGTGTTCTGAAGCAGGATTAATAATTGTGATAGATGCTTCTCCAAAAAAAAAAAAAAAAAACCATTAAGGAAGATGAGTGTGAAAGTATTCATAGAAACAAGCAGGAGCATTTGGCTACCAAGTTCTTTCTTCAGTCCCCATTCACTCCTCAGCCAGTGCACATAACTGACTCTGGCTAAAAGTCCAGTTGTCCTGCTTTCCCCTGTGTTTCAGGCAGCCATCTACTATATCAAGGGTACCACTTTCTTTTCCTAACTCCTGCCTGCTTGTCTAGTTGATATATTGCATTTTTATACCAACTAATATTTCAGATTCTCTGAATGGTGTTCAACACGTTGAGAACATGAGATGCAGGTAATAAAACAATTAACAGAAGTGGTGATTTGGCACTTTGATAGACACTTTGAAATCTGCTTAGGGAAGGAAAGGGAAACGAAGGGAGTAGAGACAAAATCCAGCTTCAGTTCAAACAGAAACACTAATTCCCCCAGAGCCTGGTGAGGGCCAGAATTATGTCAGAAATGTGGTGTGTGCTTTCAGCACAGTCTCACTGCTGAACTTGTGCACATATGCAATTGTGCCACAAGGCCTTTCCCAACTTGGTGCCTTCCAGATGCTTTAGAATACAACTCCCAGCAGGCTTGATCACTGGCCATGATGGCTGGGGCAGATGAGGGTGGAGGTCCAAAACAGCTTTGAGGGGATCAGGTTGTGGAGAAGGCCATTCTCTTCTGATGACAAGTGAGGTTCAGTCAAAACCATAACTGCATAATATAAACATTCATTTGAACCAGGCAAACACAGAGACAGGCACGTCTGCATTTCTGCCAAACATAACAATTGTGAGAATTTTTACAGCTGTCTGTGGATACCACCTTGCTCCCACAAGACTGTGAGACCAGAGTTCTGTGTGCAAAGTTGCAGAGAGTATCACCAGAGTTCACATGTATGAGCTAGCCCTTAATCTAAATATTCTTTCCCTGGAAAGCCATTGTTTGGTTTGTGATGCAGCAGAAAGTAATTGCTCATTAACTTGAAATGAGATTTGTGATGCAAAACAATTCTGAAGCAATGCATATTTCAGACATATGGTTGAATCCCACAACAGCCTAAAGAGCCGATAAAAGAAATGCCCCAGGTGGGCAAAAGGGAAGGACAGTGTCACATAACAAACGTGATCTCGTATTTTCTCGTCCTACTCATGTGGTTATGTCTCAGAAGAAAACATAAGCTAAAAGTGCTGGCAAATCCCCCTCACTTTTCTTGTGCATTTTAAAATTTCAGTCAAATTTGCTAAAAAGAATGCCTTCAATATACTCTTAAACCATCATAAACATATTGGATAAATTTAAGATTATTATTAATATATTTATTTTCCTTGGCTGATCTGTTTGTTCAGACTCACCCAGGATAACTGTAGCCAGACTATTTTTTCAGTGTTGTCACCTAAGCAGTGCATAATGGGGCAGTGATCTTTCTTTTGATGTCTTAAGCTGTGTTGATATCATAGTTTTTCAGAGTACTTTTTTGCATTAGTCATTTATTAAGGCTTTTTATTTTCCATAATAAACATTACATTTAATGATATTGTCCTTTGATTGGTCCAAAAACATTTTGAAGAAAAAAGACTTAAAAATGGGTTGTGGGGAAGACTTCTTAATAATTGAATTATGCCTATATTGTTAGTCTTGGGCCTCTGAGGATTGATGGAAAATCCTGTTTCCTGTTTTCAGTCAGATAAGTAGGAAGACAAGAAACAAGATATATAAAAGGGAAACATGAAATTGGCAGGAGAGGATAATGGGGTAATTTCATGTGTCAGCTGCACAAGAAATCAGAGTACCAGGTCATATCAATTGCTGTTTTAGAGCAACTGTCTAGTCCAAGTACACCAACAAGCCTATTGAATGTCTGTAAGAGTTCCCCTCGTATATGTTGCTTGCTCTGGAGGTAAGAGTTGAAGAAATTCAGGGTTAATTACATGACATATTAAATATATTGTGTGAGATGCTTAGCGCGCTCTTTTTACTTGTAAGTGTGGGTCCACAATCTGATTTTAGACTACCATGGGTGTATGGGGAAGTCTAAATCTTCTCTTCCAGCTGCTCGTTCTCCTAAATTAGCCTTTCTCTAGCACAAGGCATGTGGTTGCTTCTTGGTGCATATCCTGTGAAAAGCCACAAATGAGCTTACAGCTCCAAGTGCATGTGTTTACGCATACCTTCAAAATTCCAGTGGTTTAATAAGCTTGTATTCTCTCCAAACATGCATAGAATTGTGCCCTTACATTTTAGTTGAGTTGAGTTGACTTGATAATCCAGTGTCCTCCATTTAGCTTTTCCTGCTGCGGTACTTAAGGGAAAAGCATCACCTTCCATCAAAAACAACAAAAGTGGCTTTTCTCATAAGTTGGTACACATGAGATTGCTTGGGTGAGAGTCAGCTTGTTTTAGGCTGTTGAGAGATCCCCCATCTAAGTAATCGGGACATGGCTGGGAGAATGGTAGGAAATAAAATTAACCTGCTGTATGTGCCACTGCATTTTAGAAATACTAAAATGAAATACTACAATGTCAAATCAGACCATAGGAAACAGAATAGTACTAAGTTAATTTGATGGAAATAATACGTTGAGATAGTAGCAGTCCCTGTAAAAATGTAAATCAAATATTGTAAAACATTCATTTCATTTAAATTCACTCATCCACATATTGTAACATCTGACTGATTGTACTTCAAGTATGATTTTTTTTAAAATTTAATTATGATAAAGTCTTAACCCACACCCAGATATTTGTTTTATCTTTAGACCATTGAAGAGGACTAATTACTATAATTATGTCAATGAGCATTTTCTATCCACATCTAATAATTCTGATTTGCTCCAATAGATTGTCTATCCAGAATGTGCTCCAAATTCTGTAATTGAACAAATGAGGTATAGATGAATTAAAGGGTTTTTTTCCCTTTTATTGAATAGGATGCAATTATGCTTTCAGCATAAAGTAGAATGTTATATTTTTATTAATTTTTATTGAAGTTCTTGACTTCTGTTATTACACAGACCAGGCTCAGATGCCAAATCATATGAGGAAGGAACACTTTCAGAAAAATGGGTTGTAAGTGCCTCGGTGCCTCAGGCTATTGAACATGGATTTTTTTTCCATGCTTTGATTTCTTGGTAGATATTTTGCAGAATTACTTAGAAGCACTAAAGGGATAAAAAGAACCTCTAGCTGACCAAGGGCAAGCAACACAGACAAAGTGATGTTGTCCCATGGCTGATAATAGTTTATCAGAAACTGGAAGGATCAGAATCTGTAGACAGGCTTGGACAAATTGGTGCTTAATTTCTGTTGTGAGAAGTGCCAGAGGGCCTGTCTGGAAAATGCCAGACAGAAGCTATTTATGACTGGGTCATTTTTTTTTTAGTTGAGGAGGCTATAACCATTTTCTTATGTGCTCTTTTCTTTTCTTTTCTTTTCTTTTCTTTTCTTTTCTTTTCTTTTTTCTTGTAGGTTACCTTTCGAACAAGAATCTATCACTGTAACATTAACAGCCAAGGAGTGATCTGCCTGGACATCTTAAAAGACAACTGGAGTCCAGCATTAACCATTTCTAAAGTTCTCCTCTCCATCTGCTCACTTCTCACAGACTGCAACCCTGGTAAGGCTTCTGAAACACAGGTGGGGAGTGGGGGTGATGAGAGTGTCTGTCCGAAAAGGGTTTGATTGCAAGGAATCTGCACTAGTCCCTTGCTTATCAGTATGTCAAAGAACTCTCCAGCCCGGTTTGGTGCAATATGACTCACTGCTGCTGGCAAACACAGGAGTGCCGTGATGGAAGGAGAATGGCTACCTGTTCCCAGTACGCTCTTCCAGTATCGCTTGAGAGCTGGACTGCTGCCTAGATGTATGCCTTAAGACAAGAGGTGTGGGGTTATTTGGTTCCAGACAGGGTCCCATTTCTTTAATCTCTGAAAGAACAATCTGTCTTTTAATAAGATGCTAGTGTTCCTGCACGCAGAACCACACATGGCCAAGAGCTACAACCTGTGGTGGTGGTGGTGGTGGTGGTGGTGGTGGTGCTGCTGCTGCTGCTGCTGCTGCTTAGCAGCTCATTCCTTTCCCCACAGCTATTCCCTCTGGCTGTCTGAATTTTTCCTCTGCCACTAACTCCCACTTAAGCCACTAGCCAGGCAACTTCTCCTTCTCCAGCTCAGTTTTTTGGTCCTGGGGACATCATTGAACCCCACAGATTTACTGTCACAGGCCTACATGACATAGCGAAACTGTGGACAAACGTGTCAAAGCTATTCACTGCAAGGAGAACAACAAAACAAACATACAGACTGACATTCCAGAAAGGTGGAATGTATGCTGGTTAGAATGCAGCACTTAATGCATTGTAGTCACATCAGTTACAAAAATGAAGAGAATTGGTGAAATTTTAGATTTGTTTTTTAAAACCTGTTATATAGATAAGTTTTTAAAAAGCACAAAAACTTAAAGTTCAGAGACTACATGAGATGAAAACACACCTACTAATGGCCTCTGGTGACCGAGTGTTGCACCCTTAGATGGCTTTGGTGAAAACAATTGCAGTCTCGTGCCATGAAACATTTTCTTCTCATGGAACCACTTTTGGATAGTCTCTCTACACATTTAGAAATTTTGTCTAAATTGTTCATGTAACTTTGTTCAAGCAGATACAATATTAAACAAGCCCTTACATGGTTCGTGCTTTAGAACAGTTCGTAGATACTTGTTTTGTTTTTCAAAATAAAAGTGGAATAGAAATTAATTTCGGATGGAGTATTTCCACATGGAATGCAGTCATAAGCTTACTTAGATCCATTCGACAAAAACGAGACCTGACAATATTTTATTATACTAGTAATTTTCTTTCTAAAATACTTAAGTGTTATATGCTTGGAAATGTCAGTGGGAGGAGTGCCAGCATATTTTAGCTTAAATCTCTTACTGCCAATTACCAAACCTTGGCAGAGACACTTCAACCTTTTGCAGGGATCAAGGGGACTGCACAAAATATGGAAACTACCAAATGACTGATGTTCAAGGGAAAAGGACATGGGCCACAGGAAAGAGGCATAAGCAACAGCAGAACCTGGATTTGGCCTACAGAACTGAGGTTTTGTGTCCTGAGTTTACAGCCTAATAAGTGCAAAGAAATCCAAAAATCCTCTTGTGAGAGAAATGCATAATATAACCAGAAGAATATTCAATCCCCTTTTGAAAACAGAGCTTTTGGGTGGAGGGGAGGGACAAAATTCACTGTATCTGGAGAAATACAAAGGATTCTTATACATGTTTGCTCAGAAGCAAGTCCTATACATCAGTATGTGTATGGGAGAAAAGGGAAAAGTGTCCTAAAAAGGGAAAAATCTAGTTTTAGTCTAAAATTGAACCTAAAATTTCAGAGAGTTTGTTCATTGAATCACAGCTTTAGGCATCCCTATCAAATGTCATCTCTTTTCTTCTTTGCTCTTTCCTGCCCCAAAGAGCTAAGATCTACTGGAATTTGTTTATTCAACTTTATTTCATTTGCAGCTGACCCGCTGGTTGGAAGTATTGCTACTCAGTACATGACTAACAGAGCAGAGCATGACAGAATGGCCAGACAGTGGACCAAGAGATACGCTACATAAACTGGATTTTTGTCAAAACCTTGCATTGAATTATCTGTGATGGAAAGAGCTGCTTATGATTTTGAGGGGGTGGGACAGGGAAGGGGAGAAAGTGATAAAGAGTAGGGTATTTCTATAACAGATTTTATTCAGTCTTTTATTTCCTAAGATTTTGTTGTTGTAACTTAAGGTATCTTGCTACAGTAGACAGCTAGAATGGGGAATAGCATATTTTAAGACTGTCATTAGTTCAGCAATAGTAGCTCTGATAATAGCACCAAGAAGAATGTAAACTACTCTGACAATTGGAGGGGGGTGGGAAAGGGTGTTTGGTTATGTGTGATAGCTAAAAGATTAAAACAGCTTAATTTTGTACAGGTACATATATTTGGCATTTATGTAAAATTCTTTCAAGAAGACTCGCTATGTGTGTCAGGGGGTTTTTAAGTTTGATTTTTATTTTGTAAAAAGATGTTGGGAATATTTTTCCCCCATGGGAGGTGGGAGAGTTTGGTATTTAACAGATCCTTTTAAAAGACTGCCATCTCATCAATATGAAATATTGAGGTGTGGGCTATATGCTGCCTCACCTAGAATAGGTGAAATAGTTTATGTATTCATTTTTCTATGCCAAGTTACCTTTGTGAAAACGAAGGATTGAATTGGGTCTTAGGGCAACCTGTAGTGAAATACCTTAAGCTGTTTAACTGTAAGGCGTGGAATAGGAGTCACTCAGTGGATTGGTTGTATGTTGTGGGCTGACTAAGCCTGCATTTGTTACTGTGCTAATAAAAATATGTACAAAAAAATCCGCCTCTCTTCTGTCTTGTTGAAATAGCTCTAAATATATTCTGACAAAAGGATAACCTTGGGCAGTCATTAGATTTGTGAATCATGCAAATTCAAAATCAAGAAGGCACTCTTCGTCATGGCCTCTGTGCATCACACATATGGGTACTGCGCCTGCACAGTGCCTTTGGCCGGAAGATTGATAGTGAACGGTTTTTGGCGGGAAGCTCCGCTCCCCCTCCCCCTTGTGGCGTATAAGGAGCGGAGCGTCCGCCATTTCGTTCAGTCTTTGCGACCGCCGTTCACTGTGCCTCGTGCCACTTTCGACTTTCGCTTTGGCTATTCTTCGTTCTCTCCTTATATATTGCCCTTATACTACTTTCCCCTTACTTTGTTTCCCGCTTCTGTGTAGTTTTCTCTTGTTATTTCTTCTTCGATCTATCAAAATATACACACACACACACACCCTCTGCACTATGTCTCTTCTTTTCTTCTGTGATGGCGCAGCGAGCGGCTTTCTGCAAATGTGCAGACTGCGGGTCAAAAATGGCACCTACTGACCTGCACGACCTATGCCTCCTCTGCCTTGGAGAGGGGCATAGGATGGATAAGTGCGTTCATTGCCTAGCCTTCTCAAAGCAGGCTAGGAAGAACCACGAGAACCGGCTTCGGAGGCTCCTTTGGGATAGGGCTCTGATGCAATCAGACCCGCTCGTCTCTATCCCAAAACCTGGCTCCGCTTCTGTGGCTCCACACACCCTTCGGATGAAGGTGCGTCCGCTTCGGTGGCCCCCTCTGCTTCACCAAAAAAGAGGCATGAGAAGCGAAAGCATGCCGAAGAGAAGCCGGCAGGCCATAAGAAGGCCAGAAAGGAGAAGGCCTCTAAGCCTCCAAAGAAGACTAAGTCCACGGACCGTTCCCGACATCGGGACTCGGAGCCGACGGGACCCTCGGTACCGGTGGCGGTTACAATACCGACCCCGCCCGAACCGATCCTTCAGGAGGCCATGCGGGTTACCCCTCAGGGGTCTCCCTGACGTGTGGTCAACTTCCCGCCTGCACCCCTTCCAACTTTACGGGGGTCTATTTCGGATTGGGAAATCCAGGACTCCCCTCCTAGAGTGAGGTCACCGACACTGATGCCCGCGGTGACATTAGAAACAGAAGCTGGCCTGTCCCTACCAGGGAATCGGAGCAGCCACTCGGTAGAGCAACACCCGGAGAGTTGGCGTCGTCCCTACTACCAACCTTGGGGAGACCCGCTCTCTGTGGGGTACTACCCTGCTCCCAGGGCGCGATCCTCACCTCCGTCCCGCGACCAACCGCGGTCTGTGGATTCAAGGAGGGTGCCACCTCGATTCCCGCAAAGCGGAAGCAGCCGCTCCTTCTCGCCAGCGGAGTCATCATCTTCTGCCCCACCATACTACGGTGCTGATTCGGATGACTCTGAAGTAGACTCAACCTCCCCGGACGTCGTGGTGACATCCCAGGATCCTGCGTCACCCGATGAGTCACTCGTCTCCTTCACGGAGCTGATGTCGAGGCTTGTCCAGTCCCTGGACATCGACACTGCCCAGCGCCCGGGACCATCGACGGACAAGTTTTACGACGTCGTCCGCGGGGAGCAATCGACCTCCATCGTTCTGCCACTTATAACTACCCTGCAGCAGGCGATGACGCAGCCCTGGGACCTACCTTCATATCCTCAGCCGACGTCCAGGAGATATGAGTCTATGTACAGGGTCCGGGAAGAAGACATCTCCTTCCTGCTAAAGCACCCGAAACCAAACTCGGCGGTCGTCGAATCCTCACAAGGCAGAGAGGCGAGAGGACATATGGCGCCGAGGGATAAGGCGGGCCGGAAAATAGATTCCCTGGCCAGGCGAGTCTATGCTGCCTCGGGCTTAGGACTTCGCATTTCCAACTACGAGGCGACATTGGCGCGATATCAATATTTTATTATGCAGCGCCTCCACAACGTCGCCTCCACCCTCCCAGACCACCAGGGTGACCTTGCGAAGGTCCTAATCAAAGAAGCCATGCAGGTCACGGTGCAGCAGTTGTCCACGGCATGTCACCACGTGGACATTGACTCCCGGGCCTTGGTCGGTGCCGTTTCCCTCCGGAGACACTCACGGCTTCGGAATTGTAATTTCCCAGAGGAAACCAAGCGGCGAATAGAAGAGATGCCTTTTGATGGTTCCGGGCTCTTCCATTCACGTACTGACCACAAACTCAAGAAACTGCACAAGTCAAGAATGACGGCGCGCAGGATGGAGATCCAGTCACACAGCAGACGTAAGTGGTCCTGGAATCGGCCATCCTACAGGCAGTCATACCAGCTGAGACAGCTGCCGCAACACTGCCAGCAACAACAGCATCAACAGCGCCGCCGCCCTCAGCCCCAACAGCGCTTCTAACAGGGCCGCCATCGTTTCGACGATCGGAGGCAGCGCTGACGGGACTGGCGAACCACTCCTCATGCTCCTCTAATACCCACCCCCCTCTCATCTGGGGATCAGCTCCGAAGCCGACTCCCCATTTGGGAGTCCATCACATCTGACCGGTGGGTATTATCCCTCGTTCAACACAGCTATTGAATAGAATTCAACATTGTTCCTCCATCAAGTCCGATCCGGTCTACTTCATGTTTGCCGGTACTTCTCGATGAAATACATCAACTTCTCCTTAAAGAAGCGATTTGTCAAGTATTTCCATCTGACGGACTTCAAGGATTCTATTCCAGATACTTTACGGTCCCCAAGCGGGATGGTGGTCTACGTCCGATTTTGGATTTACAGGACTTGAATAAGTTTATTATACCGAGAAAGTTTCGTATGACCACCCTTCAAAACATTTTGCCATTGTTAAGGAGAGGGGATTGGTTCACCTCACTAGACCTGAAGGACGCCTACTTTCATATTTCAATTCATCCAACTTACAGGCGTTTCCTCCATTTTGCTGTAGCAAACCAACTTTATGAGTTCACAGTTCTACCCTTTGGACTGGCTACGGCTCCGAGAGTTTTTACCAAATGCATGGCTCCTGTCTGTGCCTTCCTATGCCTTCAGGGTATACAAATTTTCCTGTACCTCGATGACAGGCTGTTGGTCTCGCAATCCAGAGAAGGACTCCTAGACACCATCCATACAACCCATACCTTACTAGATAGTCTGGGCCTACGTATTAATACAGAGAAATCTTCTCTTCTTCCGACAAAGACACTCACCTTCATTGAAGCCCACTTGGATTCGACGTTGGAGAAAGCCTTCCTCCCTCAGGACAGACAGCAGACTCTCGCTCGCCATATCCATCGAATCCGACGAGAGGGAACGGTTACAGCGAGATCCATCCAGAGGGTCCTGGGGTATATGGCCTCCTCAGTTGCCGTAGTTCCACATGCCAGACTTCGGCTTCGCCCACTACAACTATTCTTCAACAACGTGTATCATCCACAAAGAGACCCACAGTCAAAACAGATTCGGATCCCGTCTTCCGTGCTCCACTCCCTGTGCTGGTGGCTAAAACCGACCAATCTCGTGATGGGAGTCCCCTTCAGGGCGCGACCTCCTTCGATAACTCTCAGTACTGACGCGTCTCTCCTAGGATGGGGGGCAATATGCTCTGGCCTGTCTACCCAGGGAACGTGGACTCGTCTAGAATCCACGAATCATATCAACTTCTTAGAGCTGCTGGCAGTCTTCAAAGCCCTTCGTTCTTTCGAAGACCTCCTTCATCATCAGATCGTTCAGATAACTTCGGACAATATAGCGACCGTTTTTTATCTGAACAAGCAAGGAGGGACGAAGTCACCGACCTTAGCCAGGCTTTCTATGAGAATTTGGGACTAGTGCATTCAGAGACACATTACTCTGATGGCTGGCACAGACAACGTGCACGCGGATCTTCTCAGCAGACACATCTTCACTTCTCACGAGAGGGAACTGGATCCTCGTACGCGCAACCACCTTTTCAGGCACTGGGGGTTCCCCGATGTGGACTTATTCGCTACTCTATGGAACAGGATATGCGAGACTTACTGTTCCAGAGCGGGAATTGGACAAGCATCCCTAAGGGACACATTCATGATCCCTTGGGACAACATCAACTTCTATGCTTTCCCTCCAATCCCTCTTCTGATGAGGGAGGGATCATAGCAAAGATAGTGAGCGACCGTGCATCGGGGATACTAGTTGCCCCTTGGTGGCCACATCAAGCGTGGTTTGCGAAACTGCTCGACATCTCCCGCGGGGAGTTTCTTTATCTTCCTGCACTTCCATATCTTCTTAACGCAAATGGACGGCACACTTCGTCACCCGGACTTGCTCTCATTGAACCTGACAGCGTGGCGGATTCGATGATTGACCTTCCACCGGGGCCGACGACGGATTCGAGAGCCTCGAATCTGACAGCTTCTATTACTCCATCAGTATCGACGATTACTTCGACCGCTTCGGTTCCGATTCTCGAATCCAACCATGCGGGTGCCTCTCACTGCCACAGTCTCTCCGTACCATCCAGTTCGAGACAGACCCCGTCAAATTGGAACCCAACGCTCTTGCACCCTGAGATTCAGCATATTATCGACGCTGCCCTAAAGCCGTCCAAAAGGAAGTCATATACAGCTAAATGGAAATGTTTTTCCACCTTCGCCGAGTCTCATTCGTTCTCCCCACTTGTCTCATCAATCAAACAAATTCTTCAGTTCCTTCTAGAGTTGCATCACTCTGGACTGAAGCCATCTTCTATTAAAGTGTATATGGCCGCAATAGCCTACTACTGTGGCTTAGTCGACGGAACACCCCTATTTTCTCATCCTATGCTCGAGATTTTTGAAAGGACTGTATAATCTTAATCCATCGATTAGACCGGTTATGCCCACGTGGAGCCTTTCTGTAGTTCTGCAGGCCCTTATGAAGGCCCCCTTTGAACCTTTGGCAACTGTGGATATCCGATTAGTTTCTTGGAAGACGGCGTTCCTTGTAGCTGTCACATCAGCCGGAGGGCCAGTGAACTTCGTGCCCTCCGCGTTGACCCTCCTTATCTAAACTTCCACAGAGAAAAGGTCGTTTTACGCCTCAACCCATCTTTCTTGCCCAAAGTCTCTACACCTTTCCATACAGGACAAGACATTGTACTGCCTGCCCTTTTTCCATCGCCGTCGAATCCCTTGGAAAGATCCTTGCACTCCCTCGACGTTCAGCGTTGTTTAGCCTTTTATCGATCGTGAACGGAGTCTATTCGGTGATCCAATAAACTGTTCATCAAATATTCGGCTAGAGATCAGGGCGACCCAGTCACTCCACAAAGGCTTTCTAAATGGATAGTCCACACTATTGTCTTGTGTTATCAGTTAGCTAAGCTCGAATTGCCTTCAGTTCCTCAAGGCCATTCTACTAGAGCAGTCGCTACATCTTCTGCATTTGCATCCGGAGTTCCGATTGATGAAGTCTGCAGAGCTGCTACTTGGGCGAATCCCTGCACTTTCGCCAAGCATTACCATCTTGATGTTCAGGCTCGACAGGACTGCTCCTTCGGTAGAGCTGTTCTATCCTCCGTCCTTCGATGAGGACACCTTCCCTCCTCCTTTGATGGTAAGCTTGTTAATCTACCCATATGTGTGATGCACAGAGGCCACGACGAAGAAAAGCAGGTTGCTTACCTGTAACTGATGTTCTTCGAGTGGCCATCTGTGCAGTTACACAACCTGCCCGCCGGCCCCGCTCGGTGTCGGTGAGTGGATGCATCGACAGCTCAATGTCGATGAGAGGGGGCATTTTCGGTACCGATCATCTCCTTTATAGTACCGACAAAAAAAAAATCCATTAAGATACCGTACGTTCGGTCGCAAAGACTGAACAAAATGGCGGACACTCCGCTCTTTATAAGCCACAAGGGGGAGGGGGAGCGGAGCTTCCCGCCAAAAACCGTTAGCTGTCAAACTTCCGGCCAAAGGCACCACGCAGGCACAGTACCCATATGTGTGACTGCACAGATGGCCACTCGAAGAACATCAGTTACAGGTAAGCAACCAGCTTTTCTCTACAGAAGGGCCCTGGGTGCATATTAACATATTGCCTAGACTGCTGCAATCTGCTGTATGTGGAGCTGCCTCTGAAGACTTTCAGGAAATGTCCGTAACTGCAAAATACTGGCTAGCTTACTGCTGAGACATATAGAAAACACTTCTGTCTGCTGCACTGGGTGTTGATGCAAATCAAAGTGCTGAACATTTCCTAAGTGACTTAGGAACTGACTATCTTTCTCCACAAAGGCCTTTATGTGGTCTCATTCTCCACTGAGCGGTCATCTGAAGTTAGGGCAAGTGATGATTGGGGAAAGAACTTTCTTGATCAAACTGCCTCATATATGGAACACTTTCTTCATATGTGTGTTGCATCTTTGTTGACTTTTTAGCACCAATTCACCAATCCATTACAGCATTTTTAATAACTAGCTTCAGTTTTTTATGGCTTTTTAGTGCTCCAAATATTTCAATATTTTATATGGTATTGTATTATGCTCGTTAGTATTTTAAATGGTGTGCAATGCTGAGAGTCTTGTACTGACGTGCTGCTTATAAATGAGCTATATAGTTGCTCTTTTTCTGGCTTGTACTCCTTAACAGGAGAAAAGCTACTTACTGAAGTATCTAATCCAAACTACAGTAGGGTCACTGTCCTAGTAGCTTTGAGCCATTCCTTGTAAAAACGGTTCTCCTGTGTTACATAATACATTATAGAACAAAAAAGCAGGTCCTGCAGCCAGTGCCTTGCTTAGGATTCCAGCCATTTTAAGAATACTTAAATCCATCCCAATCTATATCATCCCCCATTGCCCCAGATTTTCCCACTGTTTCTTACCTGCTGTCATTTAGCACTCTATGCCATCTGAGCATGCTCTGTCCTCATTAAGGGTAAAATATTATGCAACTATCAGGAAGCTCCCAAATTCAGAGGCTTGCAAGCATCCAGCACAGAGTGAGGGTAGATCTCTGCCTTCTCACTGCTTCTACTCTGCATTTTTGTTAGACATGTTTGCATGTTTAGTTGGGGTGCTACAGAGTAGGAGGGAAGGAAGCTGGAGTGGCTTCCATAGACCTTGTATCCTGCCAGCCTTACTCTCCTCTACTCAATGCCCCCTTTAACCTTGCTCCAAGACTGCTTTCCCAGCCTTGGAGAGTAGCTGCCATGGCTCTTCCCCATTCTCTTGGATCAGTTATTTTTGTTACGTAAGAAACCACCCTCAAGGTGGTGGCCACTGTTAGTATATAGGAAGGGGATGTTCTGCACTGTCCTGTCAAGAAAAATGTATCCAGCTAGGTTGTTCTCATGAGGGTAAGATTGAGATGTAAGCCACCTTAAGTTCTTTGAAAAGAATGGCCGGATATAAGAAATACGTAAATCATTTAGAAAGCCATGCTGTATTAACATATAGTGCTATGGTGTGCATTGTTCAAGCCACAGCAGGCACTGCTGTTGCCTTAAATGCTTTCCTCCCAGCTTAGAAAGTGAAGACATCCTTCAGCCAGGGAGCAGCACTTTATCATTAGCAAGGACATGAGTTGCCACAACTTTCAGGATTCTTTGCCTCTGAGCTTAGCTGTGATCCTCATAGTACCTGGGAAGGAAACATTTTTCCAGCAACAACATACTGTTCCTTGTAAAATATTTTGGTGCAGCTAGAGGCAAATTAAGCCCGATCAGCACTCCATAAAATCTGGCCCTAGGATATGCAAGTTCGTAAAACCAGTATGTGTATTTTGATCAGTACAGCTTCCAGCAGCTTGATTTCTTTGGGGTATGACTTTGTAGACTGTCAACATCTCCACCTCAGAATTTCCCATTATACCACTACCTGCTTCAGCCTACCTGTGGCTCAGATCTTGATATTGCTACAAGTGCTGGCTACACACCCTCTAGCTCACTTTTACATTGATCAGGGTTACATTTTTAAAATGAAAGCCACTGCATTAGCAATCTAATTCTAGGCAACACAGGTACAGAAGAGGACATCTGCTGTTGGGGTTGCCAAACTGAGCTGCCATTTTTACAAGGTATAGCAGGTGGCTAGAACGGGAAGGGCCTACATCGCAGTGGCAGCACTCTTGACTGTGGAGACCTCTGTCTGGGGAGGCTTACCTGCCCCTACCAGTCACTCCAATGCCAGGCAAAGTCCTTTCAATTTGCATAATCATTTTTCAGGTTCCACTGCATGTGTTTATGCCACCAGGTATTTGCTATCAGTTCTGCTGATCACTTTTATGCTGCTCTTAATTATTAGGCTAGATCCAGATGTAGGCGCAGACAGGTAGGGCTGGCTAAAGCAGTTGTTTCTATCCCCCAGTCCCCACAGCAACCCTTCCAGTCCTCAGAAAATGCCACACAAACAGAGGACCCTGTTGAATAGGGTAAGTTCTGCATGTATGTTTAGGGGTGGGTGCTCTGAAAACTGGGCACCCTCCAGAAAAGCAAGCAAAAGTCAGATCCTTGTACCTTGAGAGCTTCCGTATACCATTTATCTATGACACTTGTCCTTTTTCAAAGTGGTATGTCTATTTAAAAAATCTCTGCTTAGTCATTATTTAATGTAAATGATTTGTAAATGTCAAATGAGTGGGTAAATAATAAGCAAAAGTCACTAGGAAATGAGGGGATGGATCTAGGATTCGATAAATGAAAGGTTCTACTTGCCAAAGGGGAATGAGGCTCGGTAATTGCATGATGGAGGGTGATTTGGTTTGGATGACACACCAGACGCCCTGGAGGTTAGGTAATCAGGGTTGAAAATGCAAACCTACACACCACAGGTTCTGACGGGATTAACCCTTGCACAATCCTCAGTTTATTATAAGGTTATGCAAGGATGGCTAACCCCTCAAATACTCCTTGGTGGCTAGGTTCACATAACACATTGACTCCTGCACTTGGGGTATTCAAAAGGCTACCCAGACTGCACCACAGCTGATCATGGGCTAAATAATCTTGTAGTGAGCCCACTGTGATATGGAAGCACCTAGGAGTCAAATGAGACATTGCTTTAAATCTGTGTCTAGCATCTACATCACTTTTATTTTTACTCAAGAGTAGATGCAGGAGCTGAATTCAAATCTTAATTCCCCTTCCCAAAACAGCTGAGCAATCCAACTGGTCCCCACCCCTACTCTACAGTAGACAAAAAAATCTAACTCTAAAACAGATTTTAAGTGGCAGATTTTGAGTATGGTTGAGCCCTAGGTGTTCCTGTGTTGAAATACTCAAAAGAACTAACCCATCTTACTTAGAATACTCATGTAAAAAAACTAATAGTTCAATGCATGTGATTCTTTCAATACTTTTATACAGAAGCTTTCAAAGCCATTCTTATCCTCAAATCCCCAGGAGTTTCAATGGCTTAAGAAATAACAGAGAAACTGCATGCAGGAGTTTACCAACCACCCAACCCCTTTAATGTTTCCCTAATGGCAAAAGGCAACAGCAGAATCAGGCATTCACTTCCAGAAGAAGAGAGTGGGGGTTCTTTTGTTTTTTAGCTATCATCATTATTGCCTTTGGTCCTCCGTCCTGGAAGAGGAAATGTCGATTTGTTCTGGGACTGAGAGAGTTTGCTTGCTAATACTGTGAAGGGCTCCATCAGTGTCTTGGTGTCAGTCGTGCTCACCTCCCACAGCTTCACCTTCTCAAGTCTGGCCCACTGCTGTGCTACTTCAGTGTCCACCTGCCTTTCTTCCAAAAGGTCTGCTTTGTTGCCTAAGACAATCACTGAGCCCTGAAAGGAAGGAAACAAACCATCATAAAAGTGGGGAGAAGCTCATGGCAAAGCACATGCACCCAGGTTTTATTGGGGATCTCCAATAAAAGATTCCGAGGAACAGAAATCAGAAAGGCACTTCACACCCGTCATGGACTGCTGCACCCTTTCCAAGGAGATTGTGTCAAACCCAATGGATGAATGGGCTGAAGGAATGTCTACCTTGGGGTCTCAATTCTTCAATGTCGCTTTAAATGTTGCCTTTTCCCTATTGTAGGGATTGGATTCAGGTGTTCATACTTAAAGCAAAATCCACTGAAATCAGCAAGATCATTTCAACAATGCCAGGCTCTAAATATGAGGCAGTTTGATCCAGCCCAATGTCAGAGGAAGCCTTCCTTTCTAAGCCCCAGATATAAGTTTGTCTGTGCTAAAATAGTCTTTGTATCACCCAGTCCATCATTTGAAAAACGCCACAAGATAAGTAAACAGCAATCAGTAGCTTCCCAATAAGTATGTCAAATGCCTTCAATACTGTTCTTATTCTCCTCCAAAACATGAGTTAGGAAGGTTACTGTGAGCTACAAGATTATTCATACATCAAATATAGCACAGTTTAGGTGGCCTAAAGGGTTTTACATGCATTAGCCTGTGACTCAAATTCTGGTTTGAAACAGTCTGTTATTAAGGTTGCTCCTGACTGATTTTAAACCCATTTCCATCTCAGCAAAGTTAGTAGCTTGTTTTCTTTTTCTTTCCCATCTTGGTCACCACAATTTCCATCTCTGCTTTGCTTCATCTCTTCTGCTTGCTTTTCATATCTTTTTTTGTGCATTTTTAAGATTTTAAACTAAAAACTAAAAAAATAATCATCAAATACATCAGACGTACTGGGTCAGCCCCCTATAACATATCTTTTAAACATTCTATAATCATATTCAAATCAATTTATAAAAATTTAAAGACATCTTTAAATCTAAGCCAAGTCCTTTTTCTCCAGCCACTCATAAAAAAGGTCCCAAGTTTGATAGAAGTCAGTATCTTCTTTCTCCTTCAATAATAGAGTCAATCTGCCCATTTCTGCACAGTCCAGAATCTTTTTAAAAATCAGTTCCTCAGTGGGTAGGTCCTCACTCTTCCAGTATTGAGCAAGCGCAATCCTCGCTGCTGTGATTAAATGTACTATCAAATACATTTCTTGTTTGCTAATATTTTCCGGTACAATACCTAACAAGAAAATTTCAGGTTTAAAAGCTAAGGGTTTTTGTAGCATTTCCTCAAGCCATTTATGTATTTTAATCCAATACTTTTTCACATATTCACAAGTCCACCACATATGGTAAAAAGTACCCACATCATGTTTACATTTCCAACAACTGTTTGACATATTTGGCAACATTTTAGCTAACCAATTTGGCAAAAATTACCATCTATAAAACATTTTATATAAATTCTCTTTATACGAAGTTGCTAAAGTTACCTTAATATTTCTCTCCCATAATTTTTGCCACTTTTCTAATTCAATATTATATCCAAAATTGTGTGTCCATGTTATCATAGTTTCCTTAACCTGTTCCCCTTCCATTTTCCTGTCAAGTAGGAACTCATAAATTCTTTTAATCATTTTCTCATCTGATTTTAACATCACTTGATCAAAGGCTGTTAGGTCTTTATAAAACCCCCATATTTTACAATCTTTAGCATATCTTGATTGCATCTGTACCTTATACCACCACGAGATATTGAGTCCTTCTTCTTGTATTTCTTGATCTAGGTTCAGGCCTCCATCCTTATCCAAAATATCATATCTTATGATCCCTTCAAAATTCAATACATTTGGATACACAAAAGCTTCCATAGGTGAAAGCCATCTTGGTAACTTATTATACAATTTTGACTTTAACTTTTCCCACACTGACATTAATGATCTTCTAATAAAGTGACTTTAAAAAGTCCCATGAGACTTAACCTTCTCATACCGCATATAAGCGTGCCAACCCATTTGCAAATCATGTCCTTCCAGATACAAGATTCTCTTATTTCGCAAGGTTATCCGTTCTTTTAGCCAAGTTAAAATAGACGCTTGATAGTACAACATCCAATCTGGTAAACCAAAACCCCCATTCTTTTTGGTTTCCTGAAGCATTTTCAGTTTAATCCTTGCTTTCTTTTTTCTCCAAATAAATCTCAAATTTTGAAATTTTAAATCCACAAAAAATGTTTTATCAATTTTTACGGGAATCATTTGGAACAAAAACAAAAGTTTTGGCAGTGTGTTCATTTTAACCAGTGCAACTCTTCCCATCAAAGACAGTTGCAAATTGGCCCATCTTTCCAGATCACTTTTAATATCTTTCAATAATTTATCGTAATTGTCTTCTTTCAAAGTTGTGCATTTAGCTGTAAGATAGATTCCCAAGTATTTAACCTTTTTGACAATCTGCAAGTCCACTTGTTCTTGGAGTCTTTTTTTCTGATCTTGCATAAGATTTTTAACTAAAAGTTTAGTTTTTTCCTTATTTATTTTCATCCCCATAACCTCACCATATCCTTCAATCCATTGTAAATGTTTAGGGATTGTTACAAAAGGTTCCTCTATTATAAAGACCAAATCATCTGTGAATGCTTGCAATTTATACTTTTCATCCCTAATTTTAGTATCTTTAATGTCCTCGTCATCCCTAATATTTCTATTCAAGACCTCTAAAGTCAGGATGAACAGCAGGAGTGACAGCGGGCATCCCTGCCTTGTACCCTTTTGTATCTCTATAGCCCTTGTACGTTCTCCATTAACTAAAATCCTGGCCGATTGTCTTTGATAGATGCTTGATATCGCATTCATAAATTTTCCCCCAAACTCCATTTGGTCCATCTGTTGCATCATGAATTGCCAATTAGCATTATCAAAGGCTTTCTGGGCATCTAAAAACAGTAGAGCCATTGATTTTTCCGTGTGTGTCTCGTAGTATTCTAGGATATCCAAAATAGTCCTCAGATTGTTCTTCATTTGTCTTTTAGGCAGAAAACCATTTTGGTCTGGATGAATAAAATCTATTAAAAACTTCTTCAACCTTTCTGCCAATATAGAGGCAAAAATTTTATAGTCCACATTTAATAATGATATGGGTCTGTAATTTTGAATTTATGTTAAGTCCATATCTTCTTTCGGTATTAATGTGATATTTGCCTCTGTCCAGGTAGCTGGTATTTTAGCAGTTAACAATGCTTCATTACATATGTCTTTGAGAAAGGTAACAAAAATTCCCTCAAAAGATTTGTAAAATTCAGCTGGTAGCCCATCCGGACCAGGGGTTTTATCGTTCTTTTGTCGCATGATTGCCTCTGTTATTTCCATAGTTGTTCCTTCTTGATTCAATATTTTTTGATACTTTTCTGGTAATTTTGGTAATCTCCCTTTCAAATGTATTCTTTTACCTTCTTATAGACCTTAGAGCAAATTTGACATGGACTTCTCTTGGAAGTTTCTTTTTTCTTGTATAAGAGGAGTTGACCCTAAAAACAAGATCTGTTCCCATACCCATGACTTCGTTCTTGATTTCTAAAAGCTCCGCCAGCATGACAGTTATGATCTCTCGGAGGTCCTCATTTTTCTCTTCAGGTATATTCTGAAATCTTAGATAATAAGATGACTTCTCCATCTCTAATATAGCCATTGAGTCCCATTGTTGACTTATTTGTTTGCTTAAATATATTTCTTTATCTACTGTCTCCAATTTTTCACATACTTGTTGTATTTTTGTGTATTCTGTTCCACTTTAAGTGGGACATCAGATAATTGAGTTGTCACCTCTCTAATAGAGTTATCCAATTTGTCAGATCGCTCTTTTTGCTCATTTGATAAGCTTTCCAGCCATATTGACATCGCCTCTTGAGATGCTTGCAAAGTTGTTAAAGCCGCCTGTATCGCCATTAAGTTTTTTGCAACATCTTCTGTCTTAGGCTGATTAATTGGATTCTGACCCACTGAGGAAGGTGCTGAAGAGGGCTGAGTTTTCCTCATGATGGAAGTTGTTCACCAAGAAATTTCAATATACCAAAAGAAAAAGGAGGGAAAAAGAGAGCGAGAGAGAGAGAGAAGAGAAAGAAAAAAAAAAAAAGAAAGTAGCTTGCAATAATTCCAATAGCCACCGGGTGGCAGCAAAAGGCTATTTAAAAGGCAAAAGGCTATTTAAAAATGAAAAAATATCAGACCCAGGAAGATTGGAACCTGGCCAAAAAAAATGGCCACCGGCAAATTAGGGGCTTTTTCTTTCTTCTTTATGCCAGTTATCAACAGATAATAATTTTTCCACCGGTAATATTGCAAAAAGAAAGTAAGTAAAAGAAAGTAAAAATGCTCACCAGAAAGTCATCACAGTACAGAGGAAACACCATGTAACAAAAACTTTCCTGGCTAGTGTCCAATTAGCCTTGGCAGAAGTCCAAACAGTCATCCAAAGTGTACACTTCTACTTCTTCTATCCTTTGATTTAGTTCCATAGCAATTATTCACTTTGCCTTCGCCCTTAGAGACATTAGAAGAAAAATCTTTCTCTTCCGCTTCAATTCAGATAAGAGTCTTCACATTCTCTCGTATGTCAGTTACCGCTTAAAAAACTTTGAGAGGGCTTTCTCTTTCTTCTAAGTCAATTATAAACAAGTACAGCTTTTCCATGGGTAATATTGCAAAAAGAAATAAATAAGAATGCTTACCAGCCGTCCGATGCTTATCTGGCTAAAGTAAGCTAATTAATCCATCAGATGTCAAGAACTGGCAGGGGCTAAGAAAACCCCCTGTATTGCCTGATTGAGAAATGCCTGAGTCTCTTCCAGTAGATATAGGATTGCTGTCCTACACCAACCAGAAGAAAAGATGCCAGGCAATCTTCCTTCGCCCTGACAGGGCTTAGATGAGTCTCCCACGACTCGCTACCAAGCAATACCAGCATGATAACAGAAGCTCCATTAATCACGTCCGTGTCTTTCCGACGCCATCTTGAAAGTCCCGCTTACTTTTC